TGTTCCCCATTTCCTTATTCTGTATGAACAACCTCACTGTCACAGACGCCAGTGAAGCCACCAATTCCCCTTAGTCTGGCACAGTCGTCATCCTTTGTTATTTTCCTGAAGGCTCCGAAATGAAATCTCCAGGGAGATTCCAGAAGTTGCTGGGTCGCCGCCTCCCATTCATGTGGGCCTCCATGAGCTGGTTTCAATCAAAGCTTCTGAATTCAACAGCATTCAAGAAAGAAATGAGAGTAACAGGAAAGATCACATGTGGCTTAAAACACAGGCCAGAACCCTGAGCTCTTTAAAACAGAAAAATACAAGTAAGTTCATGGTAGCAGTAAGGGGCCAGCAAAGATGACAGCTGCTCACCCTAAGGTAAGACATTTCTGTTGTATGAAAAGGACACTGGGGGCTGGCACTGTAGCATAGCAGGTAAAGCTGCTGCCTGCAGTACCAGCATCCCATATAGGTGCTGGTTTGAGACCCGGCTGCTCCACTTCCAATCCAGCCCTCTGCGATGACCTGGGAAAGCAGTAGAAGATGGCTCAAGTCCTTGGGTCCCTGCAACTGTTTGGGAGACCTGGAAGAAGCTTCTAGTTCCTGGCTTCGGATCAGCCCAGCTCTGGTCATTGCAGCCAACTGGGAAGTGAACCAGCAGATGGAAGACCTCTTTCACTGCTTCTGCCTCCCTGTAACTCTGCCTTTCAAATAAATAAATCTTGTGTTTTTATTTTTAAAGAAAAGACATTGGTCTACTTGATGGTAAATCACAAGAAGGCTGAAAAAAAAGTGTATCCTCTGCCGGCGCCGCGGCTCACTAGGCTAATCCTCTACCTTGCGGCGCCGGCACACCGGGTTCTAGTCCTGGTCGGGGCGCCGGGTTCTTTCCTAGTTGCCCCTCTTCCAGGCCAGCTCTCTGCTGTGGCCAGGGAGTGCAGTGGAGGATGACCCAAGTGCTTGGGCCCTGCACCCCGTGGGAGACCAGGATAAGTACCTGGCTCCTGCCATCGGATTAGTGCGGTGCGCCGGCCGCAGCGCGCCAGCCGTGGCGGCCATTGGAGGGTGAACCAACGGCAAAGGAAGACCTTTCTCTCTGTCGCTCTCTCTCTCACTGTCCACTCTGCCTGTCGAACTGGTATAGGTGGCAGCATTGCATATATCCTCATATAGGTGAAGGAGAAGGTCATGGACAAAGAGAAGTTTTTCAGAGCCCTGAGTAACCCTGAGGGCAGTGCCCATGAATGTAGGAAGGAGAAGCCATGGGCTTGCCAGGGCTCAGGGTAAAGCTACAAGCACAGTTCTCTACATAAGGAAGAGCATCCACTGGGGGAGTCTCCTGAGGGTAAGCGGGCCAGAGCAGGAACTGGGCAGTGCCCGGGTAAGTTCTGGTCAAGGTCACGAAACCCCTTCCCCTGATTCATCCCCAGAAATGGAGGTGACAACCTCACTGAAAGCCTACCCATTTCTTCTCTACCCTTCCCCCCAACTAGAGCCAAGGCTCCTATAATCAGAAGCTGAATTTTTTTTTATTTTTTTTATTTTTTTTATTATTATTATTTTTTATTTTTTTTTGACAGGCAGAGTGGACAGTGAGAGAGGGAGACAGAGAGAAAGGTCTTCCTTTGCCGTTGGTTCACCCTCCAATGGCCGCTGTGGCCGGCGCACTGCGCTGATCCGATGGCAGGAGCCAGGAGCCAGGTGCTTTTCCTGGTCTCCCATGGGGTGCAGGGCCCAAGCACCTGGGCCATCCTCCACTGCACTCCCTGGCCACAGCAGAGGGCTGGCCTGGAAGAGGGGCAACCGGGACAGAATCTGGCGCCCCGACCGGGACTAGAACCCGGTGTGCCGGCGCCGCTAGGCGGAGGATTAGCCTAGTGAGCCGCGGCGCCGGCTAGAAGCTGAATTTAAAACAAGAAACTGGGGACTTTAAAAAAATTTTTATTTTATTTATTTGAAAAGCAGAGAGAGAAACAGATATTCAGTCCACTGGTTCACTCCCCAAATGGTGACAATGGCTGGGACTGGGCCAGGCCCAAAGCCAGGAGTCTGGAACTCCATTTGGGTCTCCCACATGTGTGGTAGGGACTGGAGTACATGCACCATCTTCTGCTGCTTTCCCCGGTCATTAACAGGGAGCTGGATGGAAAACAGCAGTTGGGACTTGAGCAGGTGCTCCTACATGGAAAGCCAGCATTGTAAATGGCAGCTTAATGAGTGCGCTGTGCCACAATGCTGACCCCAGGAATAGAGGAATTAAAAATCATTTGAGATGCAGTGAGACAGAGAAAAGATTGAGCTCCCATCTGCTGGTTCACTTCTCAAATCTCCCAATGGTTGGCACTGGGCTTGGCCAATGCCAGAAGCTGGGAACTCAGTCCAGTTCCCTCCCATGGGTAGCAGGGACCCAGCTACTTGACCTAGCACCTGCTGCCTCCCAGAGTCTGCAGTGGCAGGAAGCTGTATTCAGGAACCAGAGCCAGGTATTGAACTCCGGTGCTCTGCTAAGAGGGGTGGTCATCTTAAGTGGCTCTTAGCTGCTAGGCTAAATGCCTGCTCCAGCCAAGGACTTGCTAAGCTGGAAGGTGTCCTGGAGTCATAGAGAGAAGAACAGCATCTCTGAAAGAGTGGGATACCTAAGGCACTTTCCCGGTGCCAGCCGATCTCACAGCTGGCCTGCCTGTGTGTTCACCACAGTTTCTAGAAGAACACCTCTAAGCAAGGGCCTAGGAGCACCTGTCTAACAATCCCATGGAGTGCGTGTTTACATTGTATAAACCTGTGCTTTCCCCTTGTCCCCACTCAACTCCTGCCCACACTTCTACTCCCACATCTAAAGTCAGGCTTCCATTCCGGGTGCAGGGCTGTGAATACATACCCATAGACCCATGGAGAAAATTCACCCCTTCTCCTGAAAACCTAGCCCCTGGATTACTGATGTTAATAGAGAATCAATCATAACCAGGCATCTGAGAATTACAAATAGCACGGGAGGGAGAAAAGGAACCAGAGACACTCCAAGGGAAATAGCAGGGGGAAAACAATAAGGAATAAACCCTTAAAATGTTGCAAAACAATAATAACTGACTACAAAAACAGTGATCTGAGATCAGAGAATTCTTGACATGGAAGGGATATGCAGATAGGTCAGAGTGATTTTCCATCACGCAGAATAAAGAGTATAAAGCAGGAGAGAAAGGTTGAGACTTGTGCAGGATACATGCGAAAAGTCCATGACTTTCCAGTAATTCCAATGGACGGAAGAAAACTTTCTTGAATTAGAATAAGGCTCGAGTCTTTAGATACAAAAGCAAACTGAAGGGTGGGCATTTGACCTGCTATTAAGATGCCTCCCTCCCATGTTGGAGTGCCTAGGTTTGAGTCTCAGCTCCAGATTCCAGCTTCCTGCTAATGGGGCCCCTGGGAGGCAGCAGGTGGTGGCTCAAGTAATTAGGCCTCTGCTACCCACATGGGAGACCTGGATTGAACTCCTGGCTTGCAGCTTTGGCCTGGCCAGCTCCAGCAGTTGCAGACACTAGGGATGGGACCCAGCAGCTAGGTACTCTCATCTCTGTCTTTCCCTGCTTCTGTCTCCCCCAGAAATGACTAATTGAGGGGCCCAACAGGGATAATGACAAAAGACACATTTAGAGAAGCTTTGGTAAACTGTCAATGCAAAAAGATGCCACGAAAAAGATGCCTAAAAATGCTTGCTGGCCTGCTTGCTTTGTTCCGAAGGTATGAGAAATCAGTGGCTGTGGGACACTGGCCTTGTACGAAAAGCTGGAAGATGAGTGAGAAATGTCTGCAGCATTCTGAGAAAATGATTTTGAATGTGGACTTTCATATTCAGCTGAGCTACTACTCAAATTTGAAGATAGAATATTTTATTCCTGTGGAGTCCCTGCAAGCTCATCATTTGTATCCACTGGTGTTCTTTGTTCAAAGTGGTAGAAACAGATTTTGGTGCATTTATGCAAAAAATTGCAAAGATTTTGTGTGGCACAGCATTCTCAGGAAGGCTTGGAAAATGCATAGAAGGCTAGAGAGACCAGAGCCATTGCCACAGCCAACATCATGTCACAAGCCAGCTGATGCAATGCTGCCACCTATGCCAGTCACTGCAACTAGCAGAGCTGCCCTCTGACCCCAGGCACAGGAAGCGGGTGCTGCTCCTTCCTCACAACCACTGTAGTTCTGCTTTTTTGCAACACTTGCACCAGGCTCCAAACTCTGCAATAAAGAATCAAGTTGGCCAAGCCTCAGCAGGATGTGCCTGCCCTGGCTCCCAGGGGTCAAGGGGGGAGCTCTTTTGTCATCTGTACCTTGGGAGGAAGTTCAAGGGTATATTCCAGCAAGGTGAAAAACGAATTTAAGGAAGAGAAAGTTGTGGGCTACGGGTCAGGAGGGAATGCACTACTCATCCATCTGATGGGAAGAAACCTAATGGGGCTGTCTGTTGTGCAGATCCAGAAAGATTTCTAGATTGGAATAGCAATTTGAAGGTCATTGAAAAATTTCCAAGCTGTAGTTGCCATGAAACAAACAGCATGAATTTGCAGGGGCAATCATAGGTTGATAAGAAATGAAGACCACTTTTTCTCCTTTGGCTAGTAGGAAAACAAATTGAAAAGGAAATGTGGGAAAACAAAAATCTACCCAAGATTCTCAAATACTAGGTCAACTAATCAGATATTAAGCAAGTGAAAAACAGTGTGATTTGAGCAAACGATAGAGGAAAAGAAACTTTTCTGATGACTTGAGTAGAACAGATGAGACATAACATGAACTTGTGTTTAATCTCTTTGAGTTTCAGCTACTCTTTCAGTTTTATTTCAGTTTATTCCTCTTAAAATTAAAGCAAAGTGAAATTGAATACTCTATTAAATGCATTACTTTCATAACAAGAACAGAGCAATATATTTAAAAATAATCAGTCTGGGCCACAAAACCCAAAGGCAGTTTGTGGCAAGAGAGCTGGAGCTGGGGTGGCTGGAAACATGGATCTCTTCTTAGTAAAGCAACCCTGCTGCTGCCCTGGGGCCTAATCTGGTTCCCTGGGTCTTCAGGGTTTCCATGCATTCTTCAACTTCATTATTTCTGGGGTTGGCACAGATCAGTTTTCCACATTTAGTGATGAAGCTGGGGAAAGGAGGAGAAAGATCACAGAATTAGGGTGTGTTCAGCATGTGGGGGTGGGAGCCGCACCCTCCCTGCTCCTCAGGACCCCACTCAAACAACCTGTTCCTTGCTCTCTCTGCTGAGGGCAGCTCAGGGCCAGTCCTCTCTCTGAGACCCTGCCCAGCCACTGAGATCCCCCGTGACTCATCGAGGGTCCATGGGCGGCCTGCTCCCCCCGACTCTCTCCCCTGGGGCCCCTCCTTTCTGCTGGCAGCGTCTCATCCCTGAGGCCCCGCAGGTCCCTGGGAAGGACAGCAGCTGCCCCTTCCTGGCAGGATGCTGAGGGCGGGCCTTGTGTGGACACCCAGGCATCAGGTGCCCCCCAGGGACCCTGCAGTCTCCCTGTCCCTCATCCCTTGGTGAGTGAGCTTGGTACTTACATGACAGCTGGCATGGAGCACTGACTGTTGGTCTCAAAGAAATCTTCCATAACTGAACACTGGAGGGGTCGTTTGGTGTAGCCATAGCAGCAGTCACTAGGACGCACATTTGAAGATAGAGGCATGATTGATTGTATAGGGTTTACACCTGGAAGAAAGAAAGATTGCATGGGGAGCCAGTGCCGTGGCTCACTTGGTTAATCCTCTGCCTGCAGCGCCAGCATCCCATATGGGCACCGGGTTCTAGTCCCAGTTGCTCCTCTTCCAGTCCAGCTCTCTGCTGTGGCCCGGGAAGGCAGTGGAGGATGGCCCAAGTGCTTGGGCCCTGCACCCGCATGGGAGACCGGGAAGAAGCACTTGGCTCCTTGCTTTGAATTGGCGTAGTTCTGGCTGTAGTGGCCATTTGTGGGGTGAACCAATGGAAGGAAGACCTTTCTGTCTGTCTCTCTCTCACTGTCTAACTGTATCTGTCAAATAATAAAATAAAATAAAAAAAGAGATTGCTTGGAGACACACGAGGCATCTGCAGACACATGCAGGCCTAAACAGAGAGGCTCTCGGGACAGCGGGGAGGGGGTGGAGAAGACGCTAGAGAAGGGACAGCGGGGAGGGGGTGGAGAAGACCCTAGAGAAGAGGTGCCATGGCCCAACCTAACCCTCCCTGGAGGCTCAGCTCCTCCCAGGCCCTCCTGCTCTCCCCATCCTGTACTTGGGGTGGATGGAAGCCAGAGCACAGATCTGTACCCACCCGCTGCAGTCACTTACCTTGGATGGGTCTTCTATTAATAAGCCTGTCCATCGCCCTGGTGAGCTGTCTCGTCTCTGTATCTGGAAGGGAGAGACATGGTGGGGAGAGAAATGGCTGGAGGCAGCAGTGTCTCAGGGTCTGTACTCACCCCATTCCTCACCCCCATCCTGAGGCCAAGAGGCTCTGAACTGGGAACCCTGAGTCTGTCTGGGTCCCACACCAGCCTCCATGCGCTTCTATCCTGCTAAGGGCCAAGATTTTTTCCAGGGACCTTTGGCACATGTTTGTGAGACAGAAGCAAACTGCAGATCTGACATGGATGCCTTGATGGGGCGTCTGCAGAATGTGATGCAGTCCACGGGCATCTCGGCGTGTGCCTGGGAGCTGCAGGACCAGACACAGGCTTTTCATCAACACAGGGTCATCAGCACAATGGCTGTTCTCAGTCTTTACTTATTCCTCGTCCTATAAACATTTGCATGCGTTTGCTGGAGAAAACTGCTGAGTTTGATTAGCATATACTTTTTCCAAACCCTATCAGAGATGTTAGGCAATGTCTAGATAAGTATTACTGTTTTACAAGCAAAACAATTCTGTATTCCAAAACACATCTAGCCTCAAAAGTTTAGTCAGGCATTAGGAACCTGTGTTATACTAATTAGGCATGCAACTACATTTCTTGAATAGTTACATATGAATTATATTTAATATGGCACTTGGGTCCTTTTTAAAGCTTTATTTATTTATTTAAAGGCAGAGTTACAGAGAGAGAGAGGGTGGGGCAGAGTTTGCATCAGTTGGTTCACTCCCCAAATGGCCTCAACAGTTGGGACTGGGCCAGGCTGAAGTCAGGAGCCTGGAACTCCATCCGGGTCTCCCCCATGGGTGGTAAGGGCTCAAATACTTGGGCCACCTTTTGTTGCTTTCCCAAGGTGTAATAGCATGAAGCTGGATAGCAGGTGGAGCAGCTGGGACTTGAATAGGCACCAAAGCTACAGCTTAACCTGCTGTGCCACAATGCTGGCCCTATTTGGCTGTGTTTTGACATGCTTGATATGATGTGAGTGGGCTTGCAACAATAAGCAAGATCATAAATGGCTTGTCTTTCCATTTCTAGCGAGCTCGTATCCTATTTCCACCACTTACTAGCTGTGTAATCTTTGAGCAAGTTATCTTAGTGTTTTCAATTTTAAAATGAAAATAATAACAATAATTTACAAAACTACAGAAAACTGCAGGTGGCCAACTGTTTGTTTTTTCCTCTTAGGAGAATGGCAAATTTATATTTGTTCAACCTGCTACCTACCTACAGGTAGAAGCGATCAAGGTATGAGCATCAATAAGGCACTTGGAACAGGACTGGTTCGTGGGAAGTACTGGATGTGTATTTATTCAGTCCAACAGTACAGCAGGTAGGTGATGGCTTCAATCATGGTTTTATTTTCTGCATCTTAGGATGTTTTGCCATCTTAAAACCTTTGACAACCGAGAAGGGACTGACCCTGCCAGGGCTTGCCAATTCTTAGACAGAACAAAGGATTCAAATCAACCAATCGTGGGCCCTCGTGCCCTAGCACCCCCTTTACCTTCCCCTCAACACCAAGCCTGTATTTCCCCTGCTCAGATCGGCCAGGTAGCGAGATATCATCCGAAGACCCCAAAGCCCACTGGGCTCAAATCAGCCATCCTAACCACCTCTGCTCCTTTGCTCTGCCTGTCCTCGGAGGCCCCAGTAAAGGCTCTGTGCAAGGTGCCCCTCCCCACTGCTCTGCTTCCTGACCAAATCCCAAGGCTTTTTCTGTGGCCTGTGACATGATGTATCTCACTTCCACGTAAGCAGTGTGTTCTTTTTTTCTGTGCCACTGACCTCTCTGTGTTAAGACTCAGCCACCACCAGAAATCACACTTCCATAGGTACACATGGGTCAGGGTCTTTGGGTGAGTGCCTTGCCTGCCTGCTCCCATTTCCTCCCAAGAGGTGGTTTTATACTGGGTGTGTAGAACAGTTTTAACATCACAGAATTCTACGCTTCCTTCCACAAATTTAGGATTAAGATCTCATGATCTAACTAAAATGTCAGCTAAGAGAAGGTAGCAGATAATTCTGAGCATGGTCAAAATGGTCCCAAATGGGACCAATCATCTGTGTCCAGCTTTTCCCAGGGACCACAGACAGAGGCAGGGCCATACCCTAGGGCTGACTGATTCTGGATAAGTCCCATGGGCAGGTCTGGGGCAACACACTTAATGCAGGGCAACAGGCTTCCTCCCAGACCCTGAGTTACCACCCACTCGGCTACCAGGGAAGGCTGGCTGGACTCACTGTGCAAGACGAAGGCCTGGGTGCCAAGGACAGCAGCAAGGAGGAGGAGGGAGAGGGCAGCCGTGGAGAGCTTCATCTTCCCGTGGGCAGGTGGAGCTGGCCTGCGGGCTCCGGGCCTCTCTGCTCCCTGGCTCCCCAGGGTGCTGGCTCTGCCCAGGTATTTATAAGAAGAGGATCAGGAAGTCACAGAGCAAAGCTCACAATACTGCTTTCTGCTAAATAATCGTGAATGCTCTTTGAAAATGGGGAACAGGGGAGACACTGCAGCAGGAAGTAGAGAGTCAAGATAACTTGGGATTTTCCTAGTGCTCCAGGAGCTATGGCAAAGAGAATGAACATTTCATAAGGGGATTTGTCCCTCCAGAGATTCATTTAATCCTCTAAATCCAACCCTGGGATGGGGGCAGTGACTCAGGACGGGTGTGGTGGACACTGGCTTATGCCCATGTGAGCCCCAGACGGGAATTAAAAGGTAACGGCTGGCGCCGCGGCTCACTAGGCTAATCCTCCGCCTTGCGGCGCCGGCACACCGGGTTCTAGTCTCGGTCGGGGCACCGGATTCTGTCCCGGTTGCCCCTCTGTGCCCGGCCAGCCCTCTGCTGTGGCCAGGGAGTGCAGTGGAGGATGGCCCAGGTACTTGGGCCCTGCACCCCATGGGAGACCAGGAAAAGCACCTGGCTCCTGGCTCCTGCCATCGGATCAGCGCGTTGCGCCGGCCGCAGCGCGCCGGCCGCGGCGGCCATTGGAGGGTGAACCAACGGCAAAGGAAGACCTTTCTCTCTGTCTCTCTCTCACTGTCCACTCTGCCTGTCAAAAAAAAAATAATAATAAAACAAAATAAAAAAAAAGGTAAGAGCCAGTCTAGCTGACGTGTTGGAACTCAGAGCTGGAGTGCCAAGGTTAGGGCTCTGGACATCGTCCCAGGCGCTGATCATCTCAAGGCCTAACCAGGCCATCCTGGACCTTCAAGTGCCCCAAAAGTCCAGAATCAGGAATGACCGCCCGAGGGGATGCTCTGACCTGGGAGCTGGGCCATCAGATTCCTCATGCAGAATCTGCCAGTGGCTTCTCACAGGCTTTGGTCAGCTCCAGAGCCTCTGGGTCTACAAGGCCCTTCAGAATGAAGTGCTCCTTGCACCCACAGCTCCTCCATTTCCCAATGTGATGCTTGTCTAATGCATGTTCAGCTCAACAGTCCATAAAGCATTTAGTGTTGATTGATTTTTTTTCTTTCAGAGTGAATATATTTTTTCAGGACTCCAGTACTAATTCCTAGTGGATAAATAATTTGTTCTGCGTTATATTAATTCCTGCAAATCAACCCATCAATGTCACTTGCCAGTCCCCTGTGCCAGGGTGGCTTCTTGGCTCTCTTCCTGCTAGGCTGAGCCAGGTGTCCCTCTGAGTGCTCCTCTAGCATCTGCCCTTCACCTGACTATGGCATCTGTCACACTCTGTTTTTTTCTTTTTTAAAGATTTATTTTATGTATTTGAAAGACAGAGTTACAGGGAGAAGTAGAGCCAGAGAGAGAGAGAGAGATGTCTTCCATTCTGCTGGTTCACTCCCCAAATGACTGCAATGGCTGGAGCTGAGCTGATTTGAAGCCAGGAGCCAGGAGCCTCTTCCAGGTCTCCCACACGGGTGCAGGGGCTCAAGGACTTGGGCCATCTTCCACTGCTTTCCCAGGGCATAGCAGAGAGGTGGATAGGAAGAAGAGCACCCGGGACTAGGACGAGCCTCTATATGGAATGCTGGCACTGCAGGCGGCGGCGGCTTTAACTCACTGCGCCAAAGTGCCAGCCAATAATAAATTTTTAATTGCTAAAAACACAGGGGCCAGCGCTGTGATGCAGTGGGTTAAAGCCCCGGCCGGCAGCGCTGGCATCCCATATGGATGCTGGTTTGAGTCCTGGCTGCTCCACTTCCTATCCAGCTCTCTGCTATGCCCTAGGAAAGCAGTGGAAGATGGCCCAAGTCCTTGGGCCCCTGCACCAACGTGGGAGACCGGGAAGAAGCTCCTGGCTCCTGACTTCGGATCAGCTCAGCTCTGGCCATTGTGGCCATTTGGGAGTGAACCAGTGGGTGGAAGATCTCTTTCTCTCTATGTCTCTATCTCTCTCTAATTCTTTCAAATAAATGAAAATAAATAAATTAAAAACAGTATAAAAATGTATTATTTGAAGGCCGGCGCCGTGGCTCAATAGGCTAATCCTCCACCTTGCGGCGCCGGCACACCGGGTTCTAGTCCCGGTCAGGGCGCCGGATTCTGTCCCGGTTGCCCCTCTTCCGGGCCAGCTCTCTGCTATGGCCAGGGAGTGCAGTGGAGGATGGCCCAGGTGCTTGGGCCCTGCACCCCATGGGAGACCAGGAAAAGCACCTGGATCCTGGCTCCTGCCATCGGATCAGCGCGGTGCGCCGGCTGCAGCGACGGTCATTGGACGGTGAACCAACGGCAAAGGAAGACCTTTCTCTCTGTCTCTCTCTCTCACTGTCCACTCTGCAAAAAAAAAGAGAAATACTAGTATGATTTGAGAGGCAGAGAGAGAGAGAGAGCGAGCAAGTGCTTCTGTCCACGGGTTCATTCCCCAAATGCCTGCCATGACTGAGGCTGGGCCAGACTGAAACCAAGGAGCCAGAATCTCAATCCAGATCTTTCCTGTTGGATGGCAAATATAAATGTATCTGCTTTAACAGAGATGTATGTAAAATTGATGTGAACCATATCTTTAAATGGTTGTCTCAATATCTTTTAATTTTAGAGGAGAAATCTCTTCAGAACTTCTAGCTATTAAGAAAAAAAAAAACCTAAAACATAGAAATGGACAAAAGGATGACTGGGTGCCTTTCCATTTCACAAGGGGATGTCATCTAACAGGCCCGTGCCAGGCTCCCCAAGTCTCTAGGGGAGTGGCCTTTTTTTTTTTTTTTTTTAAGATTTATTGATTTATTTGATAGGCAGAGTTACAGAGGGGTAGAGGCAGACAGAGAGGTCTTCCATCTGCTGGTTCACTCCCCAGGTGGCTGCAGTGGTCGGAGCTGAGCTGATCTGAAGCCAGGAGCCAGGAGCTTCTTCCCAGTCTCCCATGCGGGTACAGGGGCCCAAGGACTTGGGCCATCTTCTACTGCTATCCCAGGCCATAGCAGAGAGCTGGATCGGAAGTGGAGCAGCCAGGACTAGAACCGGCACCCATATGGGATGCTGGTGCCGCAGGCCGAGGATTAACCTACTGCGCCACAGTGCCAGCCCCTGGGGTGGACTTTTGATTGATGCCTTAGTAGAGACCAGGCCCTAGCCTTCATGGAGTTGTGCATAAACTTGAAAACTTTGCCCTAGCACAGATGCAAATGATTTCCAACCATTAGATAGAGAATCCCAAAGCTTACAGTTTGCTTCTTGCCCTTGATACAGGTCACTCATCTCTGTTCTCCTTCTTGCCAACTTATTTCAGAACATCATTCCCTATTAACGCTTTCAACTGTTCCTCCAATGATTTCTGAATCAGTTGAATGGTTCCCATATTAAGGGGTTAAATGCATCTCTGATACATTTTCCATCTACATTTGAATGAATCATGATTTTAGCTTTTTAAAAAACGATAGTATGATGTCTCTTGCTTGGAAGACGACACTCATCCAAAAGTTTAGTAATCCCTTCAGTTTCTGTTTCCTCTTAAAATTCAAGTCGATTATGCTCAAATTAGATGTGTTGCTTTAAGGCCAGAAGAGAAGAATAAACATTGTTTTGTTTTGTTTTTAAAGACTTATTAATTTATTAATTTGAAAGTCAGAGTTACACATAGAGAGAAGGAGAGGCAGAGAGAGAGAGAGAGACAGAGAGAGAGGTCTTCCATGCGCTGATTCACTCCCTATTTGGCCACAATGGCTGGAGCTGCACCATTCTGAAGCCAGAAGCCAGGAGCTTCTCCTGGGTCTCCTGCATGGGTGAAGACTTGGGCCATCTTCCCCTGCTTTCCCAGGCCATAGCAGAGCACTGGATTGGAAGTGGAACAGTCGGGACTCGAACCAGCACCCCCATGGGATGCCGGCACTGCAGGCAGTGGCTTTACCCACTGCACCACAGCGCTGACCCCAACATTGTGTTTTAACAGTTCAGCCAGGAGTCACGGGAGGTGGGGGAGGTAGCGGCGATGTCCCTTTTCCTCAAGCCAGTGCCACTATTCCTAGATTCCTGGTCGGCAGGTCCCTTTGCAGGCTTGACACACACTTCCGGACTCTCTCATCACTGGAGTCAGCACACACTTTTTGTCCCCTCTTGGTGAGGAAGCTGGGGAAAGGAGGAGAAAGATCACAGAATTAGGGTGTGTTCAGCGTGTGGGGGTGGGAGCCCCACCCTCTCTGCTCTTCAAGGCCCCACTGAACCTGTTCCTTGCTCTCTCTGCTGAGGGCAGCTCCGGGCCAGTCTTCTCTCTGAGACCCTGCCCAGCCACTGAGATCCCCTGTGACTCATCGAGGGTCCATGGGCGGCCTGCTCCCCTGACTCTCTCCTCTGGGGCCCCTTCTTTCTGCTGGCAGCGTCTCATCCCTGAGGCCCCGCAGGTCCCTGGGAAGGGCAGCAGCTGCCCCTTCCTGGCAGGATGCCGAGGGCGGGCCTTGTCTGGACACCCAGGCATCAGGTGCCCCCCAGGGACCCTGCAGTCTCCCTGTCCCTCATCCCTTGGTGAGTGAGCTTGGTACTTACATGACAGCTGGCATGGAGCACTGACTGCTGGTCTCAATATAATCTTGCATGAGGAAGCACTGGATGTTTCGTTTTGTGTAGGAGAAGCAGCAGTCTGTAGGGCGGTGGAAGCCTACATGTAGACAAAGTGTCATTGAAAGGCCTAGTTGCTTCCTCAAGGAGCCGGTGGAGGGGGAGAAGGCTCAGGGTCCAGTGGGAGGCATCTTCCTCCTTGGCCCAAGCCTGCTGGCCTCTTCTGGCTTCAGGCCCTCCCCAGCACAGGGCCTGGAGCCTCCCCTACCCCCCTCTCCCGGCATCTGCAGACAGTGGCAGGCCTAAACAGAGAGGCTCTCGGGACAGCGGGGAGGAGGTGGAGAAGACCCTAGAGAAGAGGTGCCGTGGCCCATCCTAACCGTCTCTGGAGGCTCAGCTCCTTCCAGCCCCTCCCGCTCTCCCCGTCCTCCCCGTCCTGTACCTGGGCCAGATGGAAGCCAGAGTACAGATTGTACCCACCCGTTGCAGTCATTTACCTTGGACGATTTCTTTATCAAATCTATCCACCACCAAGGCGAGCTGTTTTGTCTCTGTATCTGGAAGGGAGAGACAGGGTGGGGAGAGAAATGGCTGGAGGCAGCAGTGTCTCAGGGTCTGTACTCACCCCATTCCTCACCCCCATCCTGAGGCCAAGAGGCTCTGAACTGGGAACCCTGAGTCTGTCTGGGTCCCACACCAGCCTCCATGCGCTTCTATCCTGCTAAGGCCCTGAGATTTTTCCAGGGACCTTTGGCACATGTTTGTGAGACAGAAGCAAACTGCAGATCTGACATGGATGCCTTGATGGGGCGTCTGCAGAATGTGATGCAGTCCACGGGCATCTCGGCGTGTGCCTGGGAGCTGCAGGACCAGACACAGGCTTTTCATCAACACAGGGTCATCAGCACAATGGCTGTTCTCAGTCTTTACTTATTCCTTGTCCTATAAACATTTGCACGCGTTTGCTGTAGAAGTACTGCAGATTTGGACTTAAATATGCTTCCTGGACTTTATCGAAGATGAGTAATACACAGGTAGATATCACCTTTTTAAACAATTATTTTTAGATGTTCTGATAAAATATACATATAACATAAAATTTTCCTTTTGAACCGTTTTTAAATTTATAATTCAGTAGCATGAAATACATTTGTCCATTCATAGTACTGGTTTTCACCTTGCAAAGTTGAAAGTCTCTGTTACACGGTTGCTATCCTTTCTCCTCCTCCTAGTTGGCCACAGCACCATTTTACTTCCTGTTTCTGAATCTGGCTGCCCTAAGTCACTGAGATGAGTGGAATCCTATGGTTTCTTTCTTTCTTTCTTTCTTTCTTTCTTTCTTTCTTTCTTTCTTTCTTTCTTTCTTTCTTTCTTTCTTTCTTTCTTTCTTAACAATACACCTGATACAGGTTATTTTTTGTTTTTTATTTGACAGATAGAGTTAGACGAGAGCGCGAGATAGAAAGGTCTTTCTTCCATTGGTTCCCAAATGGCCACTATGGCCGGAACTACGCCAATCTGAAGCCAGGAGCCAGGTGCTTCCTCCTGGTCTCCCATGGGGTGCAGGGCCCAAGCACTTGGGCATCCTCCACTGCACTCCCGGGCCATAGCAGAGAGCTGGACCGGAAGAGGAGCAACTGGGACTAGAACCCGTATGGGGTGCTGGTGCTGCAGGCGGAGGATTAACCAAGTGAGCCATGCGCCAGCCCATGTAGTTTTCTTCCTTTTGTGACTGGCTAATCTCACTTAGATAATTTCACTTTTGGGCTCTTGTGAATTGTGCTACTGTGATCATGGCTATACAAAAATCTTTTCATGTACCCACTTTTGATTCTTTTTTTTTTTAAATAATACATTTTAAAATTTATTTCTATTTATTTTAATGGCACTGAAAGAGAGAAAGAATGTGAGACAGAGAGAGATACCCTATCTGCTGGTTCATTCCCCAAATGCCTGCAACAGCTGGGACTGGGCTACGCCAAAGCCAGGAGCCTAGAACTTAATCTAGGTCTCCATATGGGCAGGGACCCAAGTACCTGCTGCCTCCCAGGGTGTGCATTAGCAGGAATGTTGACATTGGAAGCAGAGCCAGGACTTGAACCCAGGCACTCTGATATGTGGTGCACATGTTCCCAGCGGTGTCTTAGCAGCTACAGAACTGCCCACTCTGCTCTGATTTCAGTGTAACCCAGAGGTGGAATTGCTGGATTATATTCTATTAACTTTTTAAAACCTGAAAATTCTGATTCAAAATTCATCTAGCCTCAAAGGTTTTGGATAGGGGCCAGCACCGTGGCAAAGCAGGTAAAGCTGCTGCCTGCAATGCCGGCATCCCATATGGACTCCAGTTCAAGTCCTGGGTGCTCCACTTCTGATCCAACTCCCTGCTGATGTGCCTGGGAAAGCAGTGGAAGATGGCCTTGGGCCCATGCACCCACGTGGGAGACCTGGATGAAGCTCCTGGTTTTGGTCTGGCCCTGCCTTGGCCCCTGTGGCCGTTTAGGAAGTGAACCAGTGAATGGAAGAGTGCTCTCCTGCTCTTGCTCTCGCTCTCTCTCCCCCTCCCTCCCTCCCTCCCTCTGTAACTCTGACTGTCAAATAAATAAATTAAAAACAAAAAACAAAAACCCACAGGAAATAAAATTACAGATGAGGTGAAGCTACTGTCTAAAAAACAAGAGGTTTTGGATAAGGTATGGTGGATGTGCATATTAATATTAACAATTAATACCGCTAATTAGGCAAGTGCGACTAAACTTTTAGCCTTCCTTCCTCTCTTCCCTGTCCCTTTCACTTTTTTCCTAAAGTTTGTTACTTCCACGATTGACTGTATCCCAGGATAAAGCTAGCTTGGAAACTGATGCTTACTGTTCGTATGAAAACATAAGCCAGATTTTGGCAGTAAGGGCTCAGCTTGTCCAACTTAGTGTAACGATTGATTTCCCTGGTTGCTGCCTCATTTCTTTTTTTTTTAATTTTAATTTTTTAATAATTTTTTTATTTAATAAATGTGAATTTACAAAGTGCAACTTTTGTATTGTTGTGGCTCCCCCCCAACCTCCCTCCCTCCCGCTGCCCTCCCCTCTCCCACTCCCTCTCCCATCCTGCCCTTCATCGAGTTTCATTTTCAATTACCTTCATATACAGAAGATCAACTTAGTATACACCAAGCAAGGATTTCAACAACTGCCTCATTTCTGATATGTGACTCCATTCATACTTTCAAGTGAATTACACCTAATGAGACACGTGGCCACACTTTAGTCTGAGTGTGCTCACAGTGAGCCATGTGGGGCTTGGCTTTCCAGAACTGCTTTCTTTTTTTAAAATTCCGTTTTTATTTTCTTTAAGTTTTATTTATTAATTTTGAAGGTAGAGCAACAGAGAGAGAGAGAGAGTGAGCAAGCAATGGACCTTCCATTCACAGAGAGAGGTATCTTCTACCCACTGGTTTACTTCCCTAAATGATTGCAACAGCCAGGGCTGGGTCAGGTTGAAACCAGGAGCGGGAAACTCCATGCTGGTGTCCCATATGGACAGCAGGGCCCAAGTACTGGGCCATCCTTCCATGCCCTCCCAGGTGCATTAGCAGGGAGCTGGACCTGAAGCGGAGCAGTCAGGACTCACTGTGCCACAGCACTGGCCCTCTGTAATTACTTTTTTTTGACAGGCAGAGTGGACAGTGAGAGAGACAGAGAGAAAGGTCTTCCTTTTCCATTGGTTCACCCCACAATGGCTGCTGTGGCCAGCGCACCGCGCTGATCCGATGGCAGGAGCCAGGAGCCAGGTGCTTCTCCTGGTCTCCCATGGGGTGCAGGGCCCAAGCACTTGGGCCATCCTCCACTGCACTCCCGGGCCACAGCAGAGAGCTGGACTGGAAGAGGAGCAACTGGGACAGAATCCGGCCCCCCGACTAGGACTAGAATCCAGTGTGCCGGCGCTGTAGGCTGAGGATTAGCCTAGTGAGCCGCGGCGCGGTGCCGGCCTGTAATTACTTTGTAACTAGCTCATGTCCCATTTCTACCTTCTACTAGCTGTGTGATATTAAGAGAGTTGCCTATGCCTGGTTTCTATGCTTCATTTTCTCATTTGTAAATTGAGATTAATAATATCATAGAAACCTATAGAAAATTATTGATGTCCTACAAAAATGGCATCTAAAACTTAGCCACAGAGTTTTTAGGAAGGATCATCTATAAGACACTTAAAACAGTACTAGGTGTGTATTAATTAAAAGCACAGGGGCCAGCACTGTGGTGTAGAAGTTCAAGCCACTGCCTGCAGTGCCAGCATCCCAAATGGGCACCAGTTCGTATCCCGGCTGCTCCACTTCCAATCCAGCTCCTTGCTAATGCATCTGGGAAAGCAGTGGAAGATGGCCTAAATCCTTGGGTGCCTGTCACCTGTGTGGGAGACTTGGAAGAAGCATCTGGCTCCTAGCTTCTGCCAGGCCTAACCCTGGCCATTGAAGCCATTTGAATAGAGGAACCAATGGATAGAAGATCTCTTTCTTCTATCTCTCTGCCTTTCAAATATATAAGTAAAGCTTTAAAAAAAATAATAAAAAGTACAATAGTGTACATCATGGTATAGTGGATTAACCTGCTGCCTGCAATGCCAGCATCCCATATGGGTGCCAGTTTGAGTCCTGGCTGCTCTGCTTCCAATCTAGCTCCCTGCTAATGCACCTGGGAAGTCAGTGGATAATGGGCCAAGGAAATGAGCCCCTGTACCCAAGTGGGAGACCTGGCTTAGGCCTGACCCAGTCCTGTCTGTCATAGCCTTCTGGGGGAGTGAACCAATGGGTGGAGATCTCTTTCTCTCTCTGTCAGTCTGCCTTTCAAATAAATAAGTAGATAAATCTTAGAGAAAAAGAAGTAGAATGGTTAGACGACCTAGGTAGAGTCACTTACCTGGGTGGTCCCACTTCTCCATAATGATAGTTTGATACTAAACACTATGTAATAGCTCTAAAGCCATAGAATTCTATGTGTGTTTTTTTTTTTCTGTACAATTAGTTTTACTTCAGTTCATTTGATCTAGCAGTTAATAGTTGATGTCAGCTAGATAAAGGTATTCTGACCATGAAAAGGGATCTATTTGTCCCCAAATGGGACCATTCATCAGTGTCCAGTTTGCCCAGGGACCAAAAGGCTGCAAACAGAGGCAGACCTCTACCTACCCCTGCTTTTCAGGAAGTTCCAGCATCATGTCCTGCTGGAGCATGGTCACTGGAGGACCAGACTGGCCCTCTAAGTCTCCTCCCCTGTGAGCTACCTGGCACCTCACTTACCATGTGTGACCAGGGCCTGCGAGCCCAGGGCAGCTGCAAGGATGAGGGCGAGGAAGGAGAGGGCAGCCACGGAGACCTTCATCCTCTGGGGGGCAGTAGAGCTGGCCTGTGGACTCCTGGTCTCAGTGCTGCCTGATTCCTCAGACCCCAGCCGGGCCGTGTATTTATAAGAGCAGGATCAGGAAGTGAGAGAGCAGAAGTGAGAATGTTGTTCTCAGGCTACGTTTATTTCTCAAAGGGGGAAGGAGATCAAGAATGCAATAGGAAGTTGAGGGTAAACGTGGCTTGGACTATCCCTGTGGGCCACCGGACTGCCCTGCTGGCTAGGAGACACATCAGTCTTCTAAATCAGAGGAGTTAGCCACCTTCAAGTGTCCAGATAACCCGTCATCAGGGGGCACAGGGACCACCAGAGAGAGTGCTGTAGCTTGTCATCCTGGGTGAAGATTCCCTGCACAATTACTGGAGACGAAATACTTAATCCTCTTTCTGTCTCACATGCCATGTCCAATTCACACCGGTACGTTTACTCCACCTTCAAAAATAAACCTAGAAACTTACTACATCTTGAAAGGAAAAGTCTGGCTTCTTCTCTGCCCTCCTACCACTCTCATGACTGCACTTCTGATTCTGCCTGATGTCAGCACAGAGCCCACAGCGGAAGCCCTCAGCCCCGCGAGACCCCCTCTGCTGCAGGTGCCGGTTCCGGGTGACGGGTGCCCGGCCACCTATGGCTGCAGTCTGATCTGGCTGCATACTGGAAGATCCCACCATCCTCTCCTTGGCTTCCATAATTGGCTGGGACGGCTTGCAGAGCCCGGAAACAGTTTGCTGGCTACGTGGCTGGTGATTGTAGTGGATACCACTCAGAAGCAGCTGGGGAAGAGATGCGAAGGGCCAGGGAAAGGAAGGGGAGAGGAGCGTCTGTGTCCCCTCCAGGTGCACTGCCCTCCCAACCCAGAAGCCCCCTGAGCCCCATCCTCCTGGGTTTTTAAGGAGGTCAGTCACATAAGTAAGCATGATTGATTAACTCACGTCTCCAGCCCTCCACCCATGCCTGAAAGTCTGCACCCTTTGGGAGTTGGTACTCCTGGTAACAGCTCCCATCCTTAGGAGATTTCCAGAAGTCACCTCCTTACCATGAATGCAGGCGTGTGTAAGAGAGGGTCTTGTTGTAATTAAAGGAAGATACTCTTTCATCTTTTTATTTTATTGTTTTTGAAATATTTATTTGTTTGAGTTACAGAGAGAGACGGAGAGGGGAAGAGAGAGAGATCTTCCGTTTGCTGGTTCACTCCCCAAATGGCTGCAACAGCCAGGGCTGGGCCAGGCCAAAGCCTGGAGCCTGGAGCTCCATCCCAGGTCTCCCACGTGGATGGCGGCAGCCCAAGCACTGGGGCAAAGACTAGAGGTTACTTATATTTCTTTTTGCATGGCCATATCCCACTCTTCAGTCACCCCTATCTTCACTGGGATTATTACAGAAGCCTCCTGAATTGTCTCTTTGCTTCTCTCTGCACCTTCTTCAATTTATTCTCACAGTGAGCCTGCTAAAATTTTAATTAGATCAATTCTGTGTAAAACCCTCCCACAGCTTAAATTTTTTTAAAGTTTTATTTATTTGAAAGGCATAGCAAGAGAGAGAGCAAGAGAGAGAGATTGATTTCCACCTACTGGTTCACTCCCCACATGCCTGCAACACTCAAGGCTGGGCTGTGCTGAAGCCAGGAGCCAGGAACTCCATCCAGGTCTCCCACATGGGTGCAGGGACCCAGCGACTTGAGTCATCACTGGATGCCTCCCAGAGTGTGCATTAGCAGGAAGTTGGGTCAGAAGCACAGTGGGGACTTGGACCCTACCCCTGACTCTGATATGGGTCAGGGGTACCCCAAGCAATGTTTTCGCCTGCCCCCCTCCATGGAGGTTGTAATGTGCTCATTGTAAAGCCGGATCCTTACAGTCACCTACAAGTCCCCTGATGGCCCCTTTCTCCCATCCCGTTACACCCGCCTCTCGCCAGTCTACACCTCTCTGTTCCCTCTGCCAGTCTGCCAGTGTTGCTCATCCCTCAAACGTCAGCCTGCCCTGCCCTTTCACATCCCTCAGCCATTATTCAAATGCTGAGTGAGTCTTTCCTTGGACACTCTAACATTATGAACTCGCCTTGCCCGACTACCTTGTCTCCCGTGCACTGAACGTAGCTGATAAACTTCCTATTTCAATTCTAAACCGTTTGCCGTACGTCTCTTCCCTCTAGAACATCAGCTCCCCAAGAATGGAGATATCTGCCTCTACTCACCATTGGTTCTCTAGTGCCTTGCACCTGGAAGTGTCTCATTTTCGTTCAGGTTCCCCTGAAGCCGGATGTGACAACTTTTTAGGTGCAGCTGGTTTGTTTGGGAAGGATTCCAGGGAGCCAGAGTGAGGGAGTGGACCAGTGAGGAAGTTGGGTGCTTGATTTTTTTTTTTTTTGAAGTTTTATGAAATGCATAGAATATTTCGTCTGAGGGAATAAAGAGGAAGCATTTTACTCTGATTTCCATCTCTGTGGCACTTTTTTTTTTTTTGGACAGGCAGAGTGGACAGTGAGAGAGAGAGAGAGAGAGAGAGAGAGAGAAAGGTCTTCCTTTTCCATTGGTTCACCCCCCAATGGCCACCGCGGCAGGCACACTGCGGCTGGTGCACTGCGCTGATCCAAAGCCAGGAGCCAGGTGCTTCTCCTGGTCTCCCATGGGGTGCAGGACCCAAGTACTTGGGCCATCCTCCACTGCACTCCCGGGCCACAGCAGAGAGCTGGCCTGGAAGAGGGGCAACTGGGACAGAATCCGGCGCCCCGACCGGGACTAGAACCCGTTGTGCCGGTGCCGCAGGCAGAGGATTAGCCTATTGGCAGCAGCACTGACTCTGTGGCTCTTTTAAAATATGGCCACAGGTTATTTGCCACTCTTCCCATCTGGCAGAAGAGCTTATGTCCTCTCCCCTTGGAACTGAGAGGACTTGTGCCTGGTCCAGCGTGTAAGAAGGTTGACTGTCCTGAGGCTGCCGGGCTGTGAGGAAGCCCAAGCCACCTGCAGCTCTTCCGGTAGACGGTTCTGTATGAGTGTAGCCTTTGCCATCCCAGCCTCTGACTCAGCACTGTCCAGTATGGCAACTACCGGCCACATGTGGCTCCTGAGCACTTTCAGGGGGTTGGTCTAAATTCAGATGTGCTGGGGCCGGTGTTGTGGAGCAGCAGGCTAAGCCACCACTTGTGATGTCAGCATCTCACATCTGAGAGCTGGTTCCAGTCTTGACTGCTCCACTTCTGATCCAGCTTTCTGCTAATGCACCTGGGAAGCCAGCAGAGGATGACCCAAGTGTTTGGGCTCCTGCTATCCATGTGGGAGACCCAGATGGGGTTCTGGCCGCCTGGTTTCGGCCCAGCCATTGTTGCTATTTGGTGAGGGAACCAGTGGATGGAGGACCTCTGTCTTTATCACTCTCTTTGTCACTCTGTTTTTTAAATCAATAAATAAATATCTTAAAAAATAAAATTCAGATGTGCTGAAAGTATTAACTACAGTCTACATTTCAAAGATCTAGTATCTATCCACCCCCCAAAGTAAAGTATTTCAGTTTATATTGATTACATGCTGAAATGATCATGTTTTAGATATATTAAGTAAAATGTTGAAATTCATGTTTCTTTTTACTTTTTTTCCCTAAAAACTTATTTATTTATTTGAAATTCAGAGCTATATAGAGAGACACAGAGACAGAGAGATCATCCATTCATTCCCCAAGTGACCACGACATCCAGGGCTAAGACAGGCTAGAGCCGGGAGCTGCATCCAGGTCTCTTACACGGGTGCCAGGGGCCCAAGCACTTGGGCCATCTTCTGCTTTCCCAGGCCACTAGCATGGAGCTGCACCAGAAGTGTAGCAGCCAGGACTCAAACCATTATATGGGGTGATGGCATCGCAGGTGGCAGCTCTACCTACTATACCACAACGTTGGCCCTTCTTTTTACTTTTTAAATGTAGCAACTAGAGAGTTCAATTCTACACATATGATTTGCATTGTCTTTCTCTTAGACAGCACTGGTCTGGATGATTCCGGCCATTGGAGTCACATGAAGTTGTTTGTGTCTTCGCAGCTGGGGCCCAGGCACGCTGGAGCGGAGACAAGTCATCCGTGCAGTGCCTCAGAGGACTGCTGGCCCACAGAACTGGCGAGCATGACACCGATGTTGTTTGGTGGTGGTGTGAGCTTTGGGTGGTTGAGACGCAGCACTAACTAACAGGAACAACCTCTCATTGCCCAAGGGTGGATCACAGATGTGGATTTCTCCACACTTCCGCTTTGCCCATGGCGTATGTGTTAAATATGTTCTTGCAAGTGTTTCAGAGAGGCCCCGAAGATAGGAAGCAAGGGTCGTGAAGTATGGGCCGAGGCAAGCCACTTGCCTGAGGGCTCCTGCAAATCTCAGAAGGCTGATGACCACAGCCCTGGCCGAGGTGAGGCGTGGGGTCAAAGGATGCCAAGTGGCACAAGGTTACCATCCACTCCCTCCTCCATTATGTGACGTGCGTGCGTTCCTCTTGCCTAATCCATCACAAATCCTCTGTCAGAATAGGGGCAGTGGGTGCGCTCTGCTGCACCTCCCCTGCTCCTGCCCACCCTAGCGATAAAGACCTGTAACCCTGCAGGGCCTACTGTTGCAGGGATGGGTGACATGCGGAGATTGCCGGGAATCCTGCAGAGCCGGCCAGTGCCGCATCAGCTCCTCGGTTCTGCTTGCGTTAGCTACTGGGGACAGGGCATCGTGCGTTGGCTTTGGGCTCAGCACAGGCACCACCTCCTGGGATACTGTTCCAAACTCGTATTTGTTGACCCCTCAGCTAGGCTGTTAAATGCCCCCATGCTTTTGGTCTGGCTACTTCTGAGTGATAAGGTGTGTGGTGATACTAGTGGATCCCCTTGTTTGCCAAACAGGGGAGTCCTTGGAGGTGCTGTGTGCAAATGACTCATGCTCTAAGTCCTTGGATGATGGGGCTGGCAGAGGCAGTCCTGGAAAGGAAAGGAAACCCGGATCTGGAGTAAGTAGCAATTCTGCTGAGGTTGGATTCTTTCGCCTTGCCAGGTGGTGAGGGTCCCAGGTAATCCACAGATCTTCCTGTGGCCGCTCATTGTA